ACTATAGGGTCATTAGGTCCCCCCCACCCTCGTGGCCCCCATCCCGCTGGGCTGAAGGGGTTAAAACCCCTACAGCCACTTACCTTTCTCCAGTGCTGGGCTCCCTCGGCGCTGGGGAACTCTCCTCCCTCTGCCGACGTCCGCTCCGAATGCGCATGCGTGGCAAGAGCCGCGCGCGCATTCAAACCACCCATAGGAAAGCATTATTCAATGCTTTCCTGTGGACGTCCAGCGTCTTCTCACTGTGATTGTCACAGTGAGAATCGTGGAAGTGCCTCTATTGGCTGTCAGTGAGACAGCCACTAGAGGCTGGATTAACCCTCAGTGAAACATAGCAGTTTCTCTGAAACTGCTGTGTTTTCAGCTGCAGGGTTAAAACTAGAGGGACGTGGCACCCAGACCACTTAATCGAGCTGAAGTGGTCTGGGTGCCTACAGTGGTCCTTTAAGATGTATTATGCATTAAGATATGTGAGTGTATTTGACTTTGTGGAGTCTATATGCAGTTTGGGATCTCAGGAAGGTAGAGATCTCTTTATATACAGCATATCAAATGTATTAATACCTGAACACTGCGAACACATTATAATTTCTCTTGCGAATTTTCTTGTATTGTTACCAGGTGCATTTTCGGTTATCATGGTGCAAGCAGTACAAATGTTTTGTTTATCTATAAGAGAGTCAGTATTTGGATCAAAGCTTATCTGCAAAATCTGAAAATATGCTTTCATTTAAATGCACATGGGCAGAATGTAAATCATCTCATAAAAGGATCCTTTCGGACGTGACATAAGATACTCGATCTTGTAGAGTGATATTAAATTAGATATGATTTATGTCTGTACTCTAGCAGTTGCTTCCAGGAAGTTTAATGGCTCTATCTGGCTAATACTTACATTTAGCTGTTATACAAAAACAAGGTCAAATACAATGAGATCTTCTTGGCAGACGATCAATGATATCTTGACTTTATAAAATAACCTGGTTTCCAACTTTCCATTATCTCACTCAGATCTAAATATACATATCATGGTACATGGATATGATAGAGCCTTTCAAGCAAAAAATCCAATTACATCTGATGGTATTTGACGTTTTTACACTCTAACTTTTACAGTAACTCTAGCTAATAACTATGTAATTATTAAAGGAATATTGGCCATTTTTATCTCCTTGTGCCATATACCTTATTTATTTATTTTCATCCTGCTCACCTATCTACATCTTTGGAGAACAAATCACCAAAGAATCTCAGGTGGGGATTGTACCAGGTATGCTTCAAAAATTGAGCCGTAGTCTCTGCTCAATTAAATGTGAGTATAAAACCACGTTTTACTGTCTATTTCATACTGGTTGCATACATAGAGCACTATTTAGCTTTTTTCTTTTTCTTTTTTTTTGGGGATACCTCTCTCTGAGAAATCTGTTGAAGATACCGTCACCTATATCCTACCAGAGGGGGATCAACACCACTGAATGAGAATTACACCAGAGCTTGTATTAGAGTGAGTAGGACTATTACATACCATACACTACCTATCACTTGTCTGTGACATATTACACTATTTAGTTTTCTCTTCTTTTTATGGTAAGAGGATTGAAGAAGCCGTATATCTCCTGATTCCCACAAGATAGCAACGGAAATAAGGTCCTGATTATGTACTTTTATTGTTTTGATTATTATTGCTTTTTATTGCTTTTATCTGTTGGTATTTCATTTATATTTTAACATTATTTATCTTAGGTGCAACCTATCCTTATTCTGTTTGTGTATAACCTTAACAACAAGTCTCTGAGCCAGTAAACACAAATGATCTCTCTGTCCTCAAAACATTTGCTCCATGGCAGTTCAGTAGAAAACGTTTCTAACCTTCTTCTGGGTTCATGATCTTTTGTGGATTGTGTCAATTCACATCATAATTTAATCTAAAGGTATAGTCTAAGCACCATGACAGCTTAGTGAGGCAGTTTTGGTTTCCCTGCAGTCTCAATGCTCAGTTCTCTGCCATTAGGAGTACAACAAATTACGTTCAAAAATTAGTTCTCTCTTTACAGGAAGTGTGTAGGGAGGCTGTTTAGGTTACATGCAGGGAGGTGTGGCAAGGGCTGCATAAACAAAGTAATTTAACCCCTAAATGTTTTGGTGCTAATTGTTTTGGTGCTTATTTTTTATAAGGAAAGGTACATTTCTTGATAGTTTCAACTGTACTGTGGGATGTTGATGTGATTATCATCTAAGGAAAAGAAAGGAAAATAAATCTGAAGTTTCATCAGGTAATGCAAATGCTGCAGCTGTACTACTTACTGGCTACCAGATCTTACAGAACCTAAAAAAATAAACCATCAGAGTTGTATCAAAGAGGCCTGAGATGAATGATAATGTATTATATAATGTTGTGCATCATAATGTAAATATTAATACATGGAATGTAAATCAGCATCCTGCTATCTGTAGGTTGTTGTTTTTTTTGTTTGCAATATGCCCTGGTTTCAAGCTGTTATTGAAGAATCAAGAATCAGTTTTATCATATGATCCATCTTTCTGAATGCTGTGCTTTATTATAATTAGAAATCAATGCTTTCTTGGTAGCTACAATTTACAACTATATATTCAATGTATGCTATTAGCTCTACTTATGGTCTGAATCTCAACTTAATGTATCAGTGTTTGTGTTTGTTAATGATAATACTTTGCAAAGTTTGGTCTGATACAATAAACAGACTGCTAATCCTTATGAGCCCATCTGTCTCTCTTTTTGGCTTCCTCTACTTTTGACAGATAGATACCCACAATAGTGGCAACCAACAATCCTGTAATATTCTTCAGAACCAACACGAAGGCTCAGTCATAGCTTGTATCAGCCTGTGGTATCACCTACCACAAGGGTCGTACACCAATGCATGGGTTGTACAGATGTGCTGAACTTAAGCTGCTCTGTTCCATTGTATCTGGATTTCAAATACAGCCCCTGTGTAGTTTGTGCTGTCATCAGTGAAGGATTATGATTCCACTGGGCCCTGGGCAGGTCACCAATTTGGGCTCACTCTTTTCATTTTTCACATGGGGTTGGTTAATAGGGCTAAGAAGACTCATGCTCCATATTCCCCGTCTAACCTTTAGGTCTTAGGCAGCTACGTATGGTCCCCTTATGGTTAATCCTGCTCTGGCTGTCAAGCTGCCACTGTCAGTTGGTTTGTGTAGCTTCCAGTTTCAGAACTCAAAATTTCTATATTTACCCCATAAATTAGGCATTCTCGTAGGGCTTCCAAGAGAGACATGGAACAGCTATCAAATTTCTACTACTCATATTTAGTGCCTGCAAATATGAACCCCACTAACTGAGTACCACTGAATTGTATCCTAAAGAGTCACTGGGCATATTTCAGACTAGGAACACAATTCCTTTCTTGATGGTGAATGGGCACTACTGGGCATTGCTAAGTACTTCTCTATGCCCTGTTTATTACAGATCACTCTTTATTGGCTTGAGACTATTTACATTTTACCTGAGTATAACTTATTATTATTTTATTATTTATATAGCGCCAGCAAGTTCCGTAGCCCTGTACAATGGGTTTACTAGCAGACACGCAACTGTAACCAGGGAAGTTGGACGCACAGGAACAAAGAGGTTGAGGACCCTGCTCAATGTGCTTACATGCTAGAAGGAGTGGGGTATAGTGACACACAGGGTAAAAGTAGGGGTATCAAAGCAGATTGCTAGAAAAGTATTTAATGAGATCTGTTCTCCGAATTGTTTATTTTTGCTGACTTAAAAGCCCATAATTTGTAAAAGATGTTTTTCACTAAAGTGAGAATTCAAAGTAAACTTTCTATTTTAGGAGAAATAAGCTAAACTAAAAGCATTGTTGACTTAGATACATTTTCTGGCTATTTTGACCTTAAATTTGAAATTCACATTGAATTAACACTGATAATAATAGTGTGAATTTTTACAAGTAAAAAATATTAAGTAGTCTTCCAAGGGAGCAGAACTTCCTCCTATATTCCCAAAGTAGTATGTACAATATACAGACAGGAAAGGGTAAATATAAATTGCAATATTATCACTGTATTAAAGCTCTGTCATCAGTACCAATACCTACAACCATCATGATTAACAATGAGGTGGCAAGACAGTCTTCAGTTCCTGTAGAACGTCCGTAGTTTAGAACAGTTTAGAAACCACCTCTGACTTTCTTAAATTTTGTCATGTGTCCTTAAGGGGTTAAAGCTACTTTTTTATCTGAAAGTTTAACTCTACGGAATTGCTGTTTAGGTCATAAGTACTACAAGTCTTATACCTTCAGAAATTTGGATATTTGCTTTTATGTAATAAAAACCATCTAGTATTAGCTAAAATATCTACATTGGACCAACCATCTTACTTGTCTGCCAAAAAAGAAAAAGCCACAACACCACACCTTAAATAAACTCAGTCTTCACAAGAGTGAGGGTTATTAATATTATTGGTAGCCAGAAATAGACAGACTATACTTTTATATGATAAAGTTGCTTTAACATTGGTGAATGAGTAGTGTTATAATAGCACTCTATAAGCAATTTTACCCACCCAAAAAGTTCACTCTGCTAGGAAGGCAAAATGGCTGCTGCGTTACATTGGTCACATTAGTGCTTTCTGTACATTGTGAAGCTTAATTAATTACTTTCAGTGATATTTTTGTGACCAGGATTCTCAAATTCTGGACCCATAAATGTTAGCCTACAATTTCCAGGATTCTTTGAACTTAACCCCTTAAGGACACAACTTCTGGAATAAAAGGGAATCATGATGGAATCTTTCCATCACATGTCCTTGAGGGGTTAATAGATGGCAAGAAAATCATGGGAGTTGTAGTTCAGTAACAGCTGGTGGGGCCAGAGTTTAAGCTACCTACTCTAAAGTGATATTATAATTCATTTGAGCAATAGTATACAAAACTGCAAGAGTCATAGGCGTGCGCAGCCTATTGCATTAGGGTGTGCTGCACCCTAAAGCACAAACACACGCTGCGTGTATATGTGTGTGTGTGTGTATATATGTATATATATATATATATATATATATATATATACACACACACACACACATATACATACATACACTGCTGTGTGTGTGAGAGTGTTGTTAGTGTGCTGTGTGTGTGAGAGAGTGCTTGTAGTGTGCTGTGAGGGTGCTGTGTGTGCAAGGGTGATGTATGTGTGTGTGAGAGAGTGCTTGTAGTGTGCTGTGAGGGTGCTGTGTGTGTGCTGTGTGTGTGTATGTGTGTGAGGGTGCTGTGTGTGTGATAGGGCTGGTAGTGTGCTGTGAGGGTGCAGTGTGTGTGTGAGGGTGTGAGGGTGCTGTGTGTGTGTGAGGGTGCTGTTAGTGTGCTGTGGGTGTGTGAGGGTGCTGTGTGTGTGAATTTGTTTGGAGTAATTGTGTGTGGGGGTGGGGGGGGGACAGATTAGGAAATAGCCCCCCTCCCTTCTTACCTTTAGCCTGTTTAGCCTGGGAGGGGGGATCCTTGCTGCCATCCCTGGTGGTCCTAGTGGTGAGTGAACTCTAGCCTGCCACGGCAGTGCTCCGACCTCGCAAGAGGAACCCGGCAGAGCTGCTGGCTAGAGCTCCCCAGGTCCTCTCCTGCCTCCCATCCTGCCTGTGGGCTGGTGAGGGAGATCTTTGATCGCTCCACCAGCCCATGGAGGCACACAGCAGGGCCAGCGCTCGGATAGAGCCGGCTCTGCATGGACCAACAGGGGAGATCCTGTGATCTCCCCTGCCGGCCTCAATCCATGTGCGGGCTGCGGGGATTAGGGTGTGCCCAGGCACACCCGGCACACCCCGTGTGCACGCCTATGGCAAGAGTATTCACAAAGGCAGGAGTTGGCAAACCTTTAACACTTTAGATATTGCGGATTACTTCTCCCATGATGCTTTGTCAGCATTATAGCTGTATGGGAGATGCAGTACACAACATGCTGAGCACTGAAAGTTGCCTACACCTGAGCTAAGGTATGAATTGTCTGGAATCCCGAGTACATTTTTCAATTTTTTGTCAAAATAGCTCAATTGTAAAATTTCTTCGAGTCAGCTGTGGCCACTTTTGCATATAACTTTAAAGTTAAATCTAAATTAAATTTACACTTTAGTGAATAAACCATCTTGAGAGCTGAAATCTGACTACCCCAGCTCTAAACCTATATTGAATATAAGTGCTTGCTGTTTTTCCAGCTTCTTTACTTTAGCCTAACTTTTGCAATTTGGTTCTCAATTCACGATAATTTACTGTTTAGTAAATAAACCCCATAATATATATATATACAATTTTATGTCTATGCACCTTCTGCAGGGAGTTTTAGGCTTTTAAAATATATTAATGAACTTTTAAGAACTGGGTAAATAAAAGCAAAAATTTCATTCCTTGTACACACACCCTACCTTAACTATATAGATATGTATTTTTTTTATTTCTGTAAGGGAATTTTGCCAAGAAACGCGTAAACATTCTGAACAATGCAAGACAAGTGAACTGTTTTGTGCTAGTTGTGAAAGCAAACTAGTCTCCAAGGCGGTTGTCCTGTTACAGGGAAGTGCATTGATGTTGTATAAACTTCAAACTGAATGATACAGCAGTTCCTGATAAAATCACAAACACAACACAGGGCTTAAGTAATCATTTAACTCTATAATGTCAATGCAGCATTGTAATCCTTGTTAACTACTCAGCGTCCGTGCAACAAGCCTAACGGTTTGATTTGTGTTGCAAGCCTCAACAATCTAAAGCAGTGGTTCCCAACCTTTTTTCACTTGAGTATCCCTTGGCAGCCCATTTACATAAATTGTACCCCTCACATTAGCAAAATGTTGTAATTAATGTAGTTGCATTTATTTCAAATTTATACATTTTTCTCTGTTTAATCTCCCCCTGCTTCTCCTTCGCCCCATGCTCTCCGTGCTTCTCCCTCACCCCATGCTCTCCATGCTTCTCCTTCGCCCCATGCTCTCCCTGCTTCTCCTTCGCCCCATGCTCTCCCTGCATCTCCTTCGCCCCATGCTCTCCATGCTTCTCTTTCACCCCATGCTCTCCCTGCTTCTCCTTTGCCCCATGCTCTCCATGCTTCTCCTTCACCCCATGCTCTCCGTGCTTCTCCTTCACCCCATGCTCTCCCTGCTTCTCCTTCGCCCCATGCTCTCTGTGCTTCTCCTTCGCCCCATGCTCTCTGTGCTTCTCCTTCGCCCCATGCTCTCTGTGCTTCTCCTTCGCCCCATGCTCTCCGTGCTTCTCCTTCACCCCATGCTCTCCCTGCTTCTCCTTTGCCCCATGCTCTCCCTGCTTCTCCTCCACCCCAGACCCTCCATGCCCATGGCTGGCTGGCCGGCCACCTTTTCTCCCCACAGCTGGCCACCTACATTCTCCCTTGCTGCTCCGGGTTGACATATTCCAGGCGCCAGGACAAAATCCTTAGAGTAATTCTCTCTATTATTGCGGTGATTTATATAAATATATATATTATTGCTAAGTTTGGATATCAAACTCAATTACATCGTTGATGTAATTTAATAACTAGGGTTGTTCACTAAACTCTGAATTAAAGTTTTGAAAAAATTGTTAAGGTCCTTTGCACCAGTTTACTTTAAGTCCCCCTGTTTTTCGCATGTAAAAACTAATAGTATAAAACCTAATGGAAATAAAGAGCCAGGCCAAGTTCTCCTGGATATCTTCCATGTCTTTTCATTCATGACACCCTGCTATCTTTTTCCTTTGATTTGGCCCCAAAATGCTCCTCATAGAGTAACATTGTTTGGCTTTTGGCACATGCGCAAAGAAAAAGCTGAAGGGAACAGGGAACTAGAGAATGGTGGACAAGGGTATGGAATCTCATGGAGGGAGGTTGGGAAAGTCAGCCACTGTTAAATTGGGAGGAGAGAATATTTTAATTGAAAAATGGACACTGGTGGAGGGAGACACTTCCAATTCAGTCCAAAGTCTTCACATGCATACAACTAATTAACATTTGGCATTTCAGAACAGAGTTCAAGGCTACAAAAATCCCGTGTGTAGGGATTTGCCCCTGGCAAAAAAGTGCATATATCTCTGGATGTGCAGTGTTTCAACACATATACACTTCACATACAGATTCCTTCCTCCATGACCACTTCAAAAAGAAGTGGTGGTCATGGACGTTCGAGCAACCCTTTAAATCCGAGTGGGATATCCGAGGTTATAGCTTACTTAGGTGGCAATTGTTTTCAGATTGTCTACTTTTGCCTCAGTTTTTCTATTCAGATCGAATTCACAAAAAATCTGAGTTTAGTAAAAAAACCTTGGATATGGATTGGTGAGTGGTTTTATAACTTAATTAAAGCCACACAACAAACATGTGATGGTCACAGGAGCTTGAAATATTAAACAATGATATATTACTATGTTAACAGAGTGAGTCTTTATAATTCATGTTATTATAATCATCCTAATTGTGGCTATGAAATCACTAAACAGAGACAGATGTGTAAGAAAAAGACTCTTGCTGTAAAGTTTTTAATTAATGACACAGGAAGTGTACTTTGTGGCAAAATATTAATGTCTTTAATCAGCCAGTGCTGGACTCGTATACTTAACCCTTTTATAGATGCCAGGTCTATCACTGGATGGCTTAATGCATCCTAGATTAGGATTTCTGTTCCAAATATCTCTCCTATTTTTAATTGACATTCTTGAAGATTGTGGTACATGTCCTGGATGGCTTTAATACAATCATATTGTGAAGTTTCTTCCTATTAAATACTCTTATATAACTAAAATAATGCATTAGTAAGCAAAATTATAAGTTCTTTATGACTTTGCCATGTGACCATTTCTTACTGTACCTTTGTTGGACTGCCTCTTTTTGGGTATTAAGTATCAGGAAACATGGAAGATGATGTATATCAATATGCAGGAACCTTCCAGGGGTTCTCAACCCAGTCCTCAGGACCCCCTACCAGTCCAGGATTTGGGGATTACCTGGGTGTGTCTCAGGTGTTTAGAAAAAGGGAAAAAAACACCTTAGAGTCTAAGGTGTTTTTCTTTTCTTTTTCTAAACACCTTAGACACACCCAGGTAATCCCTAAACCCTGGACTGGTAGGGGTCCTGAGGACTAACGTTGAGAACCCCTGCTTTAGACGATACTTTCTGATGTTCAGTTCAGCTACTCCGTATAGCTATGGGGTTCTCACTTGTTATGTCATCAACTATTTTGTTACTGTGCCAATATGTATGCCTAGTTGCAATTGGTAAAATATTTTTTGTGTGTGTGTGTAATAGTTAACTTCTTTACTTACACTTTGGGCAAAGTTCATTTTTCCAAAATCTAATAATCACAGGTAAAAAGTCATAAGTCACGAGATACCATTGGCATCCAAATTAATTTAGTGGTGAACTGAATATGCAAATAAAAACAAATGTTCTCCACAATGTTTTAGAGAAATATCAACCCCATAGAAATAATTTAAGATATATTTATTGATCATTGTTTACAATTAACAAGCTTTAGCAGTTTAGTACATAGTAACCATCAGACTCAGGCGACGTACTGTCTCTTGTGGATGTTGTTAGCCGTTCTATAGCACGTAATGTATACATGTGAGCTCACACTCCAGGTGTTTGAAAGCAATAGCATAGCTGAATTCCCCCCAGAAAAGGGGTTAACCACAGGACGATTCCGGAGGATACTTTTAAAATGGCAGAAGCTGGTTCTTCATATAGAAACCATCCTCTGTCTTCCTACAGAAACAAAGTGTGGAAATGTTCAGTATGCATATTGTGTGCCACCAACTGAACGTATATCTTTATAAAACATGTACAATAAATGATAGATTTTTAAAGTATGTTTATTCATAACTACGTTAACAAATATGTATTTTAGAGATATGAAAATAAATTAAATATAGAAATTAACACCTCTTGCCACTGGGCGCCTCCATCTTTATTCTCTGCCAGTCATTGTTATATGCTCTGTTCTTTGCACCCGGCAGTTAACATGTATTAAAAGAATACATTTAACAACTAATGTACTTTCTCTCTTCTTTTGCATTGTTTGCCCTGGCTTTTCCTTGTCCAGAGGCGTAACTAGAAACCACAGGGCCTGAGTGCAAAAA